TCTCTCTCTCTCTTTCTCTCTGCTCGGTCCGTGGTCCAGGAAAGAAGCTGAAAGCACTCAAAACGCGCAAACAGAAGAAACCTGTATATATAACGGAGAGGCGAAACGAAGAAGGAACGTGGTGGGAAAAGAAAAAAGGAAGAACGAAAGAAAGGGGAAGAAAGAGAGAAAGGAGTTGAACCAAAAAGAAGTTGAACCGAAGCAGAAAGAAGAAGGAGACTGAAGGGATACAAGAGAAAGGACAAGAAAGGGACCTCGGGAAGGAGAGAGAAAAAGAAACGAAGACAGGAACGCGATGAAGGGGATCGCGCGAGGAGAGGGTTAGGCAAACGGTGAGGGGGTGTGCAGGAGAAAGAGAGAGAGACAAAACAGGGAGGAGAGAATCACGTGGGAAAGGGGAAAAGCCGAGATACGGGGAGAGATCAATACGAGGTCGCTAGGCAACGAGCCTCCGGCGATCTCAGTCCGGGTAGACAGGGTGCCGCCACCAACCCCTGAAGCCACCCACCAGCCATCCCCCGAACCGACCTGCCTCCCGTTGCTCCCTGAATATACCCCGTGCGCTTCCCACCCTTCTAGTTACTCCTCATCCTACTGTTTTTTATCCTATCCGCTCTTTCTCTCCTTCTTTCTTTCTCTCTATCTCTATCTTTATTTCTATCTTGCTCTCTCTCTCTCTCTTTCTCTCACTCTCTTTATGTTTCTCTCGACGTGTCTCTCCACCGTGTACCTAGCTCCACTGCTCCACCTCGTCGTCACCAGGCCTGCTATCTCCTGCGGACGTACGCTGCCTTCGAAATCTCTCCTGCACCTGGTTCCACCAGCCTGGCTCCTCCTCCCCCCTCGATACCGCTTGCAATATTTACGATAAGCGTTTGCATAGAAATCTCGATTTTGCGGCGGATACGCTCTCGCCGGTTTGTCGGAACGGACACCGTGGTGTATCGGAAATCGGCCTTGGTACGCCTCCATCTGCGTCTCATCTGCGTCCTTTTTTTTCTGTCTTCTTTTCCTTTCTTTTCTTTTTCTTTTTTCCTTTTTCTTGTTTTTTTACATCGACACAGGTCTCCTTTCTTTCTCTCTCTCTCTCTCTCTCTCTCTTTCACTCTCTCTCTCTCTCTGGGTCCGGGTCAAGCAGACTGACTTTTTTAGACTCGTTTGAAGATTTTGCACAAAGACGTTGGACGGTCGATTGATCGGCAGGCAAGAGGCAGAGAGGAGAGCCTGTGTGACCCGGATGTATCGCCACCTGTTGTAGTGGCTCGCCTACGTGCGAAACGACGTTGCGAAAAACGACGCCCCGCTGGGAAAACCAGCTCGGACTTTGATCGGGGCTGAATTTTAAGAGTGCCGCGCGCGGACATCCGCGAATAACGCGTCGAACGCGGGGAAAGTGGGAAAGACGAACGGATTGTTCCCGACAGTGATCGATAAAGCGATGAAACGACCAGCGTTAAGTAAGGTTTTTTATTCTTCGATCCGATTATTTTTATCACGATAAGGAGGACGATAAACGAGAGATCGGAGCCCTCGTCGTGAATCGAATTAATCGCACGACGCTTTCGTATCGCTTCGCGGGATTCGGGCGCCAAATTCAATTACCTCATCAAGTAAGGATAAGTATACCGATATTACTGGACAAACAGGCGCACAATCGCACGATGGCGTAAGACGAAAGGCAAGATAAATATTATTCCCAACCGGGATGATCGGTTTAATCGGACAATTGGCAAATCATTGCTACGCCACGCAGAATCCAATGCTCCGGTGGATGGTCCGTCGGGAGCCATATGGCGATTACAAAGTTCGTCGAGTGGCCGGTCGTCGACAACACACCTTTCCTCTCCGTGGTTTTGTACACCGGACAGGTGTACGTGTACCTTTCCGGCAGATCGTCCTTTTTCATCGGTATCAGCCAAATCTGCCGGAACAAACACGACAGGTTGTCGTGAGAAATTCGATTGTATGGTTTACTTGGCGCGAGGGAAAACACGAGACTTTGAAGAGTAGAGAACGAATAGAGAAATGGAGAAATATGTAAAAGGATACAGATTTTCTTTCTTTTCTGGATCTGATTCTGGAAATGACTAAACGTAAAGAAGATTTTACCGGAGAAAAAGGAAATTGAGAAATTTTCGATCTGATTTTAGAAGATCGTCTCAGTGTGAAAGATAATATGATTTCAAGAGGAAAGAGAGGGGAAGATTATTTTTCAAAAATTTTTTAAAATAATTAGAACACGAGTAAGAGCTTTTATATGACTTTGAAGACATTTAAAAATTCAAGAGACGAAACGACAAAAATATTGATTTCGACGGATCTTCTTCTTTCTTTTCTTCCTTCAAATAGAAAATCCTGTATTTGATTCAATTACCAAAAAATGTCAGTGCGATTCGATTTCCAATTTTCTAATGAATCGAAAGTAAGAAATATACTTACATAAGGTACGACGTCGTACAAAATTTTCGGCAATGATTCGTCAAGTTTCATAGTTGTTCTGTTGAAACGAGCCCCATCAAGGAACAGACCGTAAATGTAAACACCATCGGCTGGCGGTTCAGGGAAAACGGTCTCCCTCAAAGGGGTAAAATCGTAGACGAGCAGATCTATCGGTATCGAGTACTTCCTCGCATAATTCTGACGTGCACCGGTGAGGAACGCCTGCGTAAAATAGAAACCAGAGATCCAGAAGGTTGTCGGTGGTCCTTCGTCGTACCACAGCTGCAACGAAGAGAAATCAAGTAATGTAACTTTCTCATGGAAAAATATTTTGTAGACTGTCTCTCGGAGAGATGACGAATTAATTCTGGGCTATTATCGCTATTCCAAAACAAGATATTTCCTTCTTGCTAAAATAACTCCAATGAAAAGTTTCATAAGGGAGTATTTGAATACTGACCATAAAAAGCGTTGCACGTCTCGTACGTAACATGGTGAAACACAAGTTTGTAATATATAAATGTCTCGGAACTTCTATATACCTACATCTTCAAATTTCTTTGAAACTTTGGCGACATGATGATGACGGTCATGTTTCGTTACGGCGTTAATGAAGTTTCAAAAAGTTTTATGTGGCACGTGTAATATATCCATGGAAATTTACCGTGGCAAATATTCAAATACGTAACAAAGTCTCTGTGTATAGTGATAAAATATTAGACCACCGTCACCGAAAGAAAATAGTTCTTTACGAATGAATATAGGAAAACTTGTTTACGTACTCGCCACTTACGTACGTGTTTTATATATTTAATCAACCTTTTTTTTATCGAAGCATTTCTAAAAGGATGCACATGCCGGAAGAAGGTACAAACAAAAAGCGTCGTGAAAAAATATCCAAACAATATGAAAATATTCTTTGAATAAATATACTTATGAAAATATTCCCTAAAAACATATATATATATATATATATTCATCCGAACAAATATTCGTTCAAATTCCTCATCGTAGATCGCCCTAAGATCTTTCTACGGTACCTGAAGAAAGGCGAGCCTCTTCAAGAAGTCCAGTATGTAACTACCTAGCGGCTTCAACGACGGATAAGAGTTCGTCATCCACATCTTCGGTATCTTTCCAACAATTATCGACACGTAGACCTCCTCGAGGTCCGGGTTCATGATCACCAGACCTTAGATTAAGTTCACGAAGCCGTGAAAAATCGATAGACACCGGCTGGCCGTCAGAAGCTTTAGCCGTTTACCTTTGATCGCCTTCTGAACATTTATGAGGCTATTCCTGATCGTTTGCAGAAGCTTGTTGAATCTTCCCATTTCCTGGACCAGCACCGTGTTCATGCTTTGATTATATAACGTCGGGTATTTCTCGAGTGCATCCACTAGATCGAAGTCGTCGGGCAACTTTGACAGAATATCAGACGCAACGCCGTAGACAATCTCGTCGGGTGATTTTCCTACGTCTATTTCCGTTTCTCCGGTGTCCTAATTGGAGGACGGGGAAGCAACACAGGAGTCCTCGTTAGTCGTCCGCATGATTCGTCACGCAGAATATATTTAAGGAGTCCTATTATATTTTGTGAAACACGAGGCGAGCCGAGGCGACCGCGCGCGTACACGGTCTTAATTGTCTCGAAATTAATGAACGAAGATAATGATAACGACCGACCCCAACCGTGATACCAACAGCCCGAGATTTCCCGCAACCAAAGCGACGGGTATTTTTGATACGCGTCGTGCCCATCGTAAACCGAGTTACGGCTGTTCTGTTAATTCCCGTTGTATGTTATGAAAGAATGTTTCAACAATTAAACAATTGATTTCAATCATTGTTTCGAGAATTCATAAATGTAGAGCTGATGACAAAGACGAGCCTTGTTCATTCTACTTGTTTCCTGTTTTACTTCAAGAAAGTAAACGAACAGTCTAGCATCATTAATATTTGCTCAACATAATTCAATTTTCTAAAGAAAACACTCATCATGTCATTCGTCAATTATTGTCACATTTGTGGATGTTATAATAACAATTGTTTTTGTAGCAGAATAAATTTTTATGTAAATTTTTATTCGACGATAATTCAGATATGTCTTGACGTGCGTCATGCATTTTTTGTAATGTCGACTTTACTATATCATAGTAAAATGGTAATAAATAAATGTATATCATAATATCGTTAAAACATTCTCTGCGTCAATTTGAACATTTAAATAACACTGCTGGTATATTGTAATTATTGCATTTTATGAGTTGTGACAGAATCTAACAATTTTATACTAAGTTTTTGTTCAAGCATAAAAAAAAACTTTTCCTTTGGTTGAAATAATTGATCGGAACGTAAAAATTTAGAGCTAACAGCAGAGTTAAAGATCGAACGAATCGGATTTCAATATCACTTACTTTGATATCCTGAATAGGCTAAATGGAAGGAAATACAATATAATAACAGAATATTCGAAACTCCATATGAAAATTGAGTTTCACAGTTTTATCCTCACTTGTGTTGCCAGCAAAGAAGACAGCATCAACGTAGTCTCATGTTGATCCTTAATAATATCTGCATTCTCGTTCATCCCGAAGACACTAGGTGCAGTGGTCATTGGGAAAGATCTAATATAATCAAGAAATTCCTCGTGATTACTGACTTGAGGTACATAGTATATGCCACTAGGATCGAACAGATATTTCTCCTGAGTGATGACTTCCATACAATAGAATCTCACGAGGACCGTGTTCAAAGTTCTTCTATCCCATTCGTCTGTCACACGGCCGCCATAATTGCACTCGCCTATGAAACAAATTAATTACGAATTTAATTTTGTGAGCCAGTGAAAACGTTTTGATGAATTGAAGAATTTCTAAAAAGGAAGCGTAAGATATAATAGCTTGAGTTTTTAAATATTAGCCACGTTTAGTTTGATAATTATAAAGACTCTTCGAGAAGATTCTTTCTATGATCACAAAATAATGATACGATTTAATTAAAAAATATATTAGAACTCTAAGACTTTTTTCAGATTTACCTGTCAAATATTTCAAGGCGGTAAATTGAACGTCATCGTACTGATCCAAGAGGATCTTCAATTGCAACGCACTGATCCGCAGATCAGTCTCGTTGAACTCGTACTGATTATTCCAACCGATCGGCCCAAATTTTCTGCGTTCTTGAACAATCGCGTGGAAAAAGCACAATGAAAAAAGTAGCTTCTTGAAAATCTCCTTTTGCTTGCACGTTTCGAAGAAGTCCTCGTCACATATTGGATCCTTACAAATGAAAGAAGTATCGAATATTGGCATATTTTTATCAAATTTGAACGCTATATTCTCTATTATCGTATTATCGAACTCGTTATTAAAAGAGAAATCGAAGTCTCGAAGGAGTTGATTGACCTATCTCTCTGATAAAAAGCAAAAAACCAGCCTTGAAAGTGAAAAAACGGCGTGCATTTACGAGAACTTTATAAAATTCAGAACAATCATGTTTCAGAAATATGTATCATTTGCCTTTAAAGTAGTTACCCGTAAAAAAGATCTGACTATATTTGCTCTCAGCCCTTTCGGCGGCTCGTTGGTCATCTTCACGCCATTCTGAAGAACGCTAACTGGAAAATGGTCCACGGGATAGCTCGTCAGCCATAGACGAAAGTCTGGGTGCACGGTTCCAGGA